GCTCCGGCGGCCGCAGCCAGCCAACTGGGTCTGCTTTCTCGCTGGCTTTGTTCCCAGGGGATACTGTCTCCCGCCTGCGTATCCCTCTGCCACCCAGAGCTGGCTCCGGTGGCCTTGCGGAAGAGTCCCTGGGTTTTAGAAATCCCGTTGCTGGTTCTCGTCTGACAGCTGCCATCAGCCCCCTCTGTCCATTCATCCCGCGCCCCGTGCGGGCTCTGCCGAGCTCTGACAAATGCCGGCAGTGTTTTGGGCAGCTGCTGGAGCCGGAGCCGGGCTCGGGAAGGGGCCGGGGAGCCCCGAGCCCACCTGTCCCGCGCACAGGCTCCCCTCTATTTCCAGGGCGTCTTCGTCATGGCCCCGAGTCACGGTGGTCGAATTACAGACTTAGCTCTGCCTGCGTGTGGCTCAGGAGCTCTGGTTAATCTGACGGCCTCTTAATCTTTCTTTTTGTCCTTTGTTGCTGTTTGTCATCCCAGTGAGTTTCCTTCAGGAGTAAGTCGTGCTCCGGGGAAGCCAGGCAGGGCGAAGCCAGTCCCACTGCTTCGTTCTGGTGGAGCAGTGAGTGCGCAGCGATCCCAGTCCCGGCTTGCTGGAGAGCCCCATCCGCTCCCGATCCCACTGCCCCCTCCGGATTTCACGCTTGGCAGTGGCTGTTGTAGCACAGTGGGTACATCTGGTGTCAGCTCAGGGCACCCTACGAGCCTTTGCTGATGTCCTGCTCCTGGCAGGGATCAGGGTGGGGAGTGAACCGTGCTCTCCTTGCACCCTGGCTTGGTTTGGGTCCTCCGTGCCCCTCTCCAGCCAGGAGATCCCTTGGCCCTTGTGAAATCTTCGCAACTCTTCGAGGCTGTGGCTTGGGTGTGTCTGGGGTCCCCGTGCTGCACAGCCAGCACGTCACCTTGGATACGGTGCTCCCTGCACTCGGGGCAAGGGCTCTGGTGCAGATGGGGATGAAGGGACAGAGTTTGGGGTTGTGCGTGAAACCGGTGGCAGAGCGAGGGTCTGGGTGAGCCCACCCTTCCCGGGCTGCGGGACGAGCATCCTCACAGACACCATTTCCTGAGCATCGCTGGTGTTTGTGTCTCCTGCCTCAGTTTCCCCACATCTTAAAAGGGGTGATGGCGCTGACCCTTCGACAGAGAGCGGTGGGGCTGACCTGCCCGGGAGTTTCAGCGGCCGAGGTGGGAGGACGCCGTCAAGGCTAAGCATCTTTAGTCCCCGGCTTGTGTTCGGTGTCTCGGAGGCCTGCTGCTCCAGGCTGCCGCTAATCTGTTTTGGGGCCTTAGAAAGCAACAAAGGCTTATCTGAGCCGCTTGCTGAAAATAGAAATGAGTGTCGGGAGGACGTCTTGGTGCGAGGCCCTGCCGACAGCCAGCTGGTGGAAACCTTCTCCGGGCTTTGCCCGGCGCGTGTAAAAGGCCGCCTTTGTTTCCTCCCAGCCCACACACTGACACCGCATTCCTCCTCTTGTTGCCAGATATTCCGGGAGGCTCTCGGGGTTTAATCTCCACGAGAACCGTGGGGGATCGGAGCCTGGACTCTAACATCCCTGCTCTGCCGGCGCAGGGCACTGGGGGCTGCCGGCTGCCTCGGAGCCTCCCCGTCAGGCCTCTGCCC